TAAATCCAGTTGTACATCAAGAGTAGAAGAGTCAAGAGGAAGCACTAACTCTTTTGGATTAAATAAAGAGAAATGAAAAAGAATTAAAACATTCTCTAGAGGAGACAAGTATTTCTCAACAAATTACACTTCTACAACTACAATTATCTTTATTAAGAGTAAGGGAAATGGAAATAAAAATGAATTCTGTATAGTAAATGTATTGAGTTTGCAAATAAAACAGGGATGTGGCTAGCATATAAATTAAGAAAAACATTATACTGAAATTATAAGAGAGGTATTACCTCGGTCTTGCAGCCATACAAAAAGCATTGCATCAACATTATTCTAATTTTTATAATAGAAGTGACATTTTCTGTAGAGAAAATAAAGACTATCTAAAGAAACACAATTTACCTTGGATTACAGAGGAACAGAGACAGATTATAAATATATCTGTCACTGTACAGACAGTTTCTGAAGCTATAAAAAAGAATAAAGTAGGAAAGGCTCCAGGACCAGATGGATTATCAGGTTCTTGTTACCAAAGTTTTGATACTTTTACATTCTTTACAAAACACAATTACCTCTGTCCTACAGGGAGGAAAGATGCCAGAGAATTGGAAAAGGGTCAATATGGCATTAATTTCTAAGGATGGACAAGATTTGATTTTAACAACAACAACAAACTATAGGCCCATATCATTATGGGTTGCCTTCAAATCTTCAAAGCACTTTTCAGGCATCATTCAATGAGGACTAGCATGGAAGAGCTCCATAAGAATAATAATAATAAAAATATCTGATCTTAGCATGACATAGCTTCTAATGACTGAAAAACCAAATCACACTGAAACTGCTTGAATCAGAAACTATATCTTACGTGGGACTCTCTTTGGTGATCTGGGTCATGACCCAGTCCATGGTGACCAGGGTAGACATGAATTCCCAAGCTGTCTCAGACTCTGTGCCTTAGGGAAGTTACATTGAAATTCTCCAGTACCACAGCTCTGAAGAGCTCCACTACCACCCCTGCAATAGTATTGAATTGTTTGGCAGGATGTCCACTTCAAACTACATTGTTATCTGATCTCCTAAGTCCAGCCTTGCAGATAGAGTGTATAGCTATCTCTAAAGCAGGGGTCTTCAAACTTGGCCTTTTTGTGACTTGTGGACTTCAACTCCCAGAATTCCTCAGCCAGGCACGCTGGCTGAGGAATTCTGGGAGTTGAAGTCCACAAGTCATAAAAGGGCCAAGTTTGAAAACCCCTGCTCTAAAGCAACACCTCAGACAGCCATTGAAAGTCTTGCAAACAAGAATAGCCATTCTATCATCCCAATCCTGGGGTCACGGCTGGTCCTGTATTCAAAAAACAGGTGGAACTTATTAAATATTAGTGTTCAATGAGTTGCATTTTTAGCTTCAGTCCACTTGCAAAATGTTTGAATGGGTAGAAAATGTATTTTAGAACAGAAGCTCCGAGTCGTGCCTTTGCGGCCTCTGACCCGACGTAGATCTCGATTGGCTCCCTGGTTTACCGAGGAGCTGAGAGAGATGAAA